GCCACTTAATTTCTGTGTAATGAGGTCGACAAGTTGTCCATTTGGTGTTGTCCAGACTATAGTTGATTTTCTTTATCCCCATGACTTTTAAATTAAGGTACAGCACCAATCAATAGCACCATCTCATGATATACTATATTGCGCATCAAGGTATAGTACGGATGTGTATGCTGCGGATTTTTTTAAGTTGCGGGAAAAATGGGGGTTGGGGGAGGGGGGGTTCTTTTATCCCCCACCCTTTTCCGTTGCTTGACAAAGACTCCAAGCAATGTCACGGTGCCTGGTAGTCAGTGAATCATTCTATCATTAGCCAAGTTCTTGTGGCATACTAGGTTACTGACGTGACTGATGTCTAACGAACTAGCAATGGCTGATTTCAACTGAGTGGGTGGTTGGCAGGTGCTCCAGTGTGTTTGTTCCTTCTGTCCTATGAAATATCTATCGTCCTTATCTCTCCTCCTTTCTTGTGTTGTTTTTTTAAAACTCTCTTGTAACACCTCTAATCTTCGGCATTTATATGACTTGTTTTTGTTTTCAGTGGCGTGAAACGATAACTAATCCGATTTCAACTGCTGTTCAAATTTGTTCCCTCTTTCGTAGAAATTTTATCCGACAACGTTATCCAGTTGGGGGAAAGAAGGCGCCACGTTCTGTGTGTTGTGTCATTTGTCTACTTGGGTGTTTAATTTTTTAAGGATTTGTAAAAGTTTTACGGAACTTGCAATACTTATAGGTCATATACGTGCCAAAGATAAGAGGTCTTATTAGAGAATAACTTATAAGATAAAGGAGGGGAGAGAGATATGGGTGATAATCGTTTGATAGGAAAGAAGGAGCAGACCTCGTCAAAGAACCCGTCAACCACCCACGATTTGTTTTCAGAAAAACATAAAGTAATAAAATAGCTTATCAGATGTCCAGCTTTTAGGCCGCTTTTATTTACAATGATTATTTTTATGGTGAAAGGTGGATTTCGCCAAAAGGGTAAAGCTGGCTTCTTGCTTGAAGTAAGTCGAGTTTTGTGAGCACCTTGGTACCAGTAGGGCAATAGGAGGGCCTACTATTGCTTCTTGATGCCTACCGAAAGAGATTCCATGCGTACGTTATATACAGCATAAACTTTTTTCCTTGATATGACAGTTTGTTTGTACCAGTTAAACCGTGTGGGTGGTTTGTGGGTATTCTGATATGGTTAGCTCTTTCTTTTCTATTAAAATTGTATCGTCATATCTCTCCTCCTTTCTTGTATGCTACTCTCTAGTAACACCTCTAATCTTCTGCACTTGTAGGACCAATTTGTGTTACATGTGCCATAAAGTCGTATTGAAACTATGTCAGGCTGTATTAGGAAGCTTTTACATTGAACGACATGATTAGAGGGATGTAATTCTTATTTATTGTTCTCTTTCACTCCCCCCTCTTTCCCCCCATGTGTTCCTCATGCCGTCTTGCATTATCTAGTTGTCCGTAAAGCTTCCACACTCGGGAAGAAGTAAAAACAAAATACGCCCTTGAAAATATTAGAAATAAATGACAAATTGAGCATTTCAAAGTAAAAAGCCTATGGGTTTAACGGCCCTATCAACACTTTAAGTCGCCTCCTATTTTAACATCGTCTCCGATATAACAGAGTCAAATGATTTGAGTACCTTGAAAACTCAAAAAAAAACAACAAGGGTTCAAGAACGCCTTGTCTGGGATTCGAACCAGGGTCTTCTGCGCCGCTACGCAGCATGATGCCAACTGAGCTGACAGGGGCACCAAGTGAGCATTTCAAAGACTCCTCAAACAACAAAATCTCAGAAGCACCCCAAATGAGCTTAGCTTAAATCCAACTGATCTATCTACGAAGGCAGGTATAATACTTTAAGTAGACGTGCAAAGTGCAGGATTTTTGCCTAGTACTTTTTGAACTGCAAGCTTGCGTCGAAAATTTTACAATAATAATAGTTAAATAGAATAAGGACCTCAGCGAAGAGAAAACAAAACAACACTAAGCAAAACAACATCAAACGCTTGATTGGAGGCTGGTGAGCAAGAGAGTGAGTAATATTTTAACACATCGCGTGCCAGGCTAGGCGGTTCCCCTATTGTTGTCTGCCACCTTCACGCCCACTAACGGTAATTGGGCGGCTTTAAATTGTTCATTCGTTGGGCAGGTTGATGAAAGCTTGCTTCCTTGAGTAAGATGACATTAAGTGTCTCGACGCGGTGGAATCAGGCGCTCGCAAATTTTTTGGCTTAATGAGTTATTGGTATAATCTTATAGTCCGTGAATTTGCGTTACTTTAAGTAAAAAGAAAATATTTATCTGTCTTGAAAAAAGTAGAGATATTAAATTGTGTTTGAAGGAGGTGGGTGTAGCCTGGTATTAGATGTAAAATCAGCGAGAAAATGGATGCCAATGTTTGGTGACTTTCAAAGCTATAGTGTCCTTTAGAACTGCAAATTTACATTTTTGTCTTTGATCATCGTTTACAGCAGAGTCCACAAGGGAATGTGTTTTTAATTGATATAGAATGCGTTACCCCCCTCCCCCCCCCTCCCCCCAAAAAAAGAAAGAAAAGGATAACATCGGTGAAAATTGCCCAACCGGTGGGAAATATCGTTTTCTTCAATTTCATTATTTTGACGAGCGCCTGATTTCACCATGACGCCAAACATTATTTTGCAGGTGGTTTTGGTGTCCCTAGATTTAATGTAAGGCTGACTTTTCAGTCGAGATCTTAAGAAAAGGTCATACTCAAGGTTAGTATAACTTGAAATGTTCACCCAAAAATACGCGCTTTAGTACTAGGGTTGTGCTCGGAATAAAAGTCTGTTAATGCTCGACACATCCGTTGACAGAATTTAAACCAATTAGGAAGCAGTCTGTTTCGACCTTCTTTTCAAGTGACAGCCAAAGTTGTGAGGTTGCACGCTTCGAAAGAAAGAAGTGGATACTCTGCAAAACATCTTTACCAGACGGGATAAGAGTCACGACTTCAGCATGACAGACCAGACGAAGAGAAGAGCAGTCACTCGACAGTCACCTGTAGTCAGCGTAATAAAACTGTCATTCTTTATTACATAGCCTTTGAAACTTTGTGTTAAAATACACCTTGTAAATATTATGCTTGATTAAATACAGATTGAGATGTTTTGTTTCCATTTTTTTCTCCCTTTTCTCTACATTAGTCATTATGTCATTATAATGATATTGATGTATTATAGTATAGTGATTGTGTGATCTATAGTTGTTTTGGGGTAAATTTAGCGTATCCAGCAAATTATTGAAATGTGCTTGAAACCGTAACTGTGTTTGATTAGAGAGCGAAGGTATATTATTGGTGGTAATTGTTTGTAGGAAATTGAGAATAATAAATTCATAGAGATCGAGTAATTATTGGCGAGCTAACTGCTGTCTTACTGACTCATCACAATTCCTTCTTTGTACCCATGCTCTCTTAATAAATTATGATACCAAAGAATGTCGGTGGGTAGCTGGCAGGTGCTCTACTGTGGTTATTACTCCGTCTTTGCTCACATCTGTCGCCCTTATTTAAGCTCTTTCTGTTATTTGTATCTTGCTGTCTGGTAATGTTTCTAATCATCGGTACTTATAATGTGACCTATATGTGTTATAAGTAGGCCTACCGTAAAACTCCTACTAAAACAAAGAGAAAAATAATGTCGAAATCGGCAAGAGAACACAAACTGCCCAGCAAAAACTACATCAAAGGCTTGATTGGATTCCGATGAGCAACGGGAGCGAGTAATATCTCAGCACATCGCGTGCCAAGCCAGGCGATTCTCCTATCGAGACCTGCCCACCTTCACACCTTCTGCCCACAGAGGGGACGCTCCGAAATGTCAGCGCAGTGTCGCCAAGGGACACCTTGCTGTTCTCTGACCGAGAATCTGTAATCGATCTACAGCATGGGGTTCCCCTCCACATATCCTTAGGATCTAATTAAGCTTTTCTTGCCTACCACTCTATACTCTCCTGATCAATAAACTCATAATCCCGGTTTGTTATTGGAAATGCATTATTGAAAACGGACAATGCCCGCATTGACGTGGAGAGACCCCAAAAGAAAATCGAATGCCAATTACCTTGCGCATCGGTGACTTGCAGTTGATGTGTGGGAAATTTTCACGAGGTAAATACTTCCACGCGCTTCATGACACCGCATTGGTGTTTATCCCTGAGCGGTTATATTGCTGCTTTACTACGCAGTGCACCCATCAACTTTTGCAGCGATTGTTGTACTTCTCCATAGTTTCATGAAGTAAATTGATATTCCCCCTGTTTCAGTGTTTTTCCATGCCAAGAAGGACTGAGATCTCAATGAATGTCATGCATGCACTCACGCACGTGTGTGTGCGCGTGAGTGTGTGTGTGTGTGTGTGTGTGTGTGTGTGTGTGTGTGTGAGAGAGAGAGAGAGAGAGAGAG